ACCCCCCTCCCTTCTTTCCATTCCAGGTGCAGACAAAACTCAGGAGGCCAGTACAGAGGATACTTTGAGTGAACAAGATGCATTACAGAAAAGTCCTTTTTCTGAAGCAATGGATGTGAAGCCTTCTGATATGACTTTGCCACTAGCTCTTCCACTTGGGACTGAGGACCACCACATGCTTCTGCCTGTCCCAGATCACCAGTCTTCAACACCAGATACGCTGTTGAGATCAACTGTGAATGGTTATTCGGAACCGCAGCTGATTTTTTTACAGCAGCTCTTCTGACTGTGTGAGGAATCTGGAAATGCTAAGACATCTTTGGTGAGGTGAAGATTCATATGAAATCACCCTTCATTTGAGTTTTGACCATTATTTTCCAATCATTGAAGTAAAAGTACCCGATGCTGCAGCATTACTGTGCAATGTTTGACTTTTATGTTTAGTCTACACACAGAGTTTTCTTAGGAGTGAATTATATTGTGGTAGCACTATTTGAGCTGATTAAGCTTTATTTCCTTTTAAAGCTGCCTTAATTCTATTTGCATTTTGCATTTTAGAATTGTCCTTCCTTTAGTGACGTAAAATCCATTAATCCATATGATCTTTTTTTTTATTGTGGTAAAACATACTTAACACATTTGCCATGTGAACATTTTTGTCCGCATAAAGCTCGGGCCCTGACTACATCCATCATGCTGGCCAGTCGTCACCACGGCCGTCACCATCCTTAAAGTCTCAGTGCCCCTTGAGTGATTCAGTTTTGACTTAGAGATTTGTGGTTATTTTTCTCCCCTCAGAATCCATGCTATCAGCTCAAGGGTACTGCTATTTATAAATTCAATCGGCCAGTATAAAAATTATTGAGGGGGGAGGGAGCAGATGCAATTCCTTATTTCTACCTAAGAAAACTTAGATACTAATAGAAATGTATTTCCTTGGAAGGAACTATTCTAATGAAGTGAATATTTCTCTTAAAAGCTAGAGAATTATATAAATTTTTACTCAAAACATTATTCTGGAGAAAATCAGTGATTGTACTTTTGGTCTGAATTATCGGAGGCTGTGTTTTCAAAATGAATTTTAAATAGGTATTTGATGTTTTTATGTAGCCAAAAGATGGCTTTAACATTTTTTCACAGGTTTTTTAGTTGTTGGTGATCAGGAGAATATACCGAGTTTTGGAAAATTTTGATAAGCGTCTCTTTGGCTGATTATGCACTTTTAAAAATAAATATAAATTCTGAAAAAAGTTTCTAATATAAGCTTAATGCAAACTGTAAATCACTTGGTTTCTGGATTTGATACTTTATATTATGTAAGAGTGAAAAGCTAACTTCAATTAAAAGTAAACATTTTGGACTAATGGGCCAATTTATTTTATATTTGAGTTTTCTACAAGGTTTGGAATTTAAAATTTTATAAACTACATTTGATTGTTGTGGCTTCACAGCAGTTTTCCTTTTTCCTTTTGAAAGTAGAAAATTCCTTATTATTCTGATATTTCCTACCCATACTCCCAATCCTACTTTCCCCATGTATTATTTCATTACCCAGGTCTCTGCAATAAATAATTCCTTCCACGTCAGCACTGCCTATGCTTCTGAGCAAATACCAGGACCACATTATTTCTGCCGTGCCTTAGTTGTACCTTGCTTTCTGGTTTATTTCATCTGTAATAAGATTAATATATTTTCTGTTGGTATTAATTTCTTTGTCATTTCCTGTTTGGGAAACAATCAGAGGATATAAAAATCACTAATTCATGTAAACTGGAGAGATCTTTACCATTTTACAATTCATTATTTTCACAATAAACTGCCACCAGTGAAAAATGACTGAACATACCTGGAAATTAGTATTTAGTTAAATTCTAATTATACGTGTTTGTTAACCCTATAATAACTGGGTTTAAATAATATTGCAAAGTTATACTCAATCTCTATTTTGGCTTAAATTCAGCTGGAGTTCATTGAAATGTGAAGGAATTAAAGAAAATTAAAAGACTGCCTTTAAGAAATGCACTGAAAGAGAGGTTACTGTCATTAATCAAAACATCCAATGAACAAGCCGTCTTTGAAGATACTGCTACAGTGATGTCATACTTATTTGAGGGTAACAGTCACCAAATTTGCTCGAACTTAGTGGCCACTGGCATTTTATGGTGCTGTAGGTTGACCTTCAAATTTAGCAGTACTACTCCTGGGTACGACTGGAGTGACTCAAGCAGATTTATTTTACTTTTCTCCAGCACATGACTTGTTTCTTAATTCGGGTAAGTTTATTTTAAATTGGCATGGCTTCAGTCTTATCATATGCTACTCCAGAGTGACATGTGCGGAAATTTTGAAAGCTGAGCATGTCTTAGCAGTTTTTCATAGTCCTGTGCTCTTCTTTACATGTGTGCTAGTAGTGCTTAGTATTGCCACCAGAACCCTGGTGGCACCGAGGTTAAATCCTTGGCAGCTAACTGCAAGGCCATCAGTTTGAATCTCTGAGCATTTCTGTGGGAGAAAAGACCCGGTGACCTGCTCCCGTTCGTCTTGGGCCTAGGACATGCTACTAGCCGGCTCTACCCTGCCCTCCATGGGCGCTCTGAGTTACAGTTGAGTCAGCAGCACGACAATGGTCTTGTTCCAATGCTCATAATTAATACTTTAAGTTCACCTTTCATTGCAGTACATTTATCACAATGCAGGATGTGGGGAGAAGCCTAGTCAATTCTTTAAATTTTAGAAAGTTAGCCAAAGTCTGGATTGTTGATGAGCTTAATGAAAAATAATTTTTTAAGTGATTTTAATTTGTTTTTGTATTAGATTGTTCTTATTGTACTGACTTTAGACTTAAAAAATTATACATGACTTTTTTCCATTTTTAAATAGTATTTTATGCTTAGCTTCACAGGATTATCAGCAAATTTTAGAAAAATGTTTTATTTTTTTAAAGAAAGCTTCTCAGTTCCATTGTAATTTACAGCTTTTTTGTGTTTCAATTCTACAATTGTGCAAATGAGAGCAGTTAAAATGTACTTTTATATATAAAGATAATATCCCTAGGCTCATTTTTTTTAATATCCTAAACAATTCAGCATGGATCCATATTAGAGGGTTTTCTTTTTAAAATGCTGATCTTTAGACCCTACCAGCTTCTCAGTGGGAGAAAAACTCCATCCTCTGTTCCTGTAAAGCTTTCCTTAAAGAAATCCTGTGTCAGGGAACTGAGTTGGGATCAGCTGGATGGCAGGGGCTGTTTGGGTTTCACTAGACTGACTTGCGTGTTGGATTGCTAACTGCAAGATCACCAGCTTGAGCCCACCAGACACTCTCCAGGGAGACTGATGGGGCTGTCTGCTCCCTTAAAGACTTACTTACTGCCTCAGAAACCCCAAGGGGCCGCTCTACCCAGCCCTGGAGGGTTGCTGTACACTGGAATTGACTTGATGACATTGTTGTTTTGGTTTAGACCTATTGAATCTCACAATCTCTAGAACAGGTGTATGTGTTGGAAAAGCCCTGCAGGGTGATTTTTAATGTATAAGGGTAAGTCAAGATGTACCACTGAACAACCATAGATCCTTTATTAGACAAATACCAAAATGTCAACAAGATTTCATTTCACAATATGTACTACATCCAAATCAATGTTTCCCAAAGTAGGCGGGGTTGTCAGCTCAGGAGTGGGGGCGGGGTGTGGGATGCTGGAGTGATCCATGGGTGGGGCGGGGCTGCAATGGCAGATACCTGTACTTTATCCTGGATGATGGGCAGTAATGTAAACGTTGCCAGGAGGGCACTGCCTAATTTTTTTTTCCCTCCTGAAAAGGAGACGTAGGCCAATTTAGTTTGGGATCCTACGATACACAGTTTGCATTTCTCAAGGTTTCCATCCCTTTGACCCTTCCCCTAAAGAATTGTGAGCTCTTTGATTCACACCAGGTCGAAATATCAGTTTGGGCATCCTTAAGGCACTCAACCCATGTTTGGGGAACAAGAAGTCTGAAGTCTTAGATCAGGAATGTATGAGGGTGGATGAGGTAAGGTTTCTCAGTTAAATTCTCCTAGCAGAGCCCTGGCTAACCTAGGAGAATGCGAAAATACACTGTCTTACTGGGAAGAATTCCTGGCATAAAGCAGTTTGCCAGGGCCGTCTTCACTGCTGCCCTGCCTCCGTGAACTGAACTACGAAGCAGATCTCCTCAGGAGCCATGGTTGTGATTGTATATTGATGGTGAAGGCACCCCAATGAGATCAAGAAATGAATTACTGAGAGGTTTTGGCTGCAGCTATCCACTGATTAAATGTTTAAGCACGCATTGTGTGGAATAAATCCATGCATGTATGAACTAGAATCCCCAGTAGGCAATACTTTTTGACTTTCCCTTGTATTCATGAAACTACTAGCACTTACGTAATGCTTTCATATGGTATAGGAACAATTTTCTGAACTGTTGAATTCACTAAACCATCTTAAAAGCACTTAACAACCGCTAGTTCATATACCTGTAGTGATCTTTTCTTGTCTTCTGGGTTTTTTTGTTATCTTTTCACTATGTAAAGAAATTAATCGAAAAAAAGTTTAATTGGGTTTCTTGATCTTGTTCTCCAGGGTTAAAATTTTTACTCTATTTTGGCAAGTTCCTTAGACTAAGGTTTCTTTTTTTTAGTGTGCACTTACAATCTCTTACACATTGGACAAAAGTAACATGCTCTAATACCTGAAAGAAAATACATTTAGGCAATAAAGAATTAAGCTCTGTGGAGCTCTGGTTTTTCATAGATCTTGACCTACTGGTACAAGTGCAAAACCTGCATTAGATAAGTGGTCGTCAACTTGTCCGTAACTGGGTGTCCAATAATAATGCTTTTTAAGGCCATTGGAGACTTCTGCCAGCTCAACACATCCATCCACCACGAAGGGCTCCACATCTGTGTTGTCTGGCTTCAACCGGCCCATTTGAATTAAGTCTGAATATGCCTAAGATTAAGGAAAGAAAAAATAGATGGTTAAGAAAACTGTTTTACAATGTTCAAATTTAAAAGCTAAAAATAGCTATGTTGAAGTACAGTTTCAATAAAATACTGTGCATAACACAACCAAATTTTAATATTTTCCAGGCATTGTAAACTTGCTTATTTAATCTCCAAACGTCCTTCTCAGTAGTGTATTAGCCATGTTTCCTTTGTGATTCCCAACTTGTAGCTATTTTCTGTGTTGTCAGTTTTGTGGATATTTCATTCCATAATCAAAAATTTCAAGCCCCACGTCATTTCTTAAACTGGGACTATTATATATGCCCTTGAAAATCTGATAAATAGGACCCATCTCTCTGAGAAGTAATCAGAATCAGATTCTGGCACACAACTGTATGTAACATTCACAAATAGCCCCCACCCCACCCCCAGTGTCATCTAAGACATTTCCTACAGTGGATGATGCTGGGCTTCTGGTTAGCCCGTTACTTCTTCAATGTAGAATTTTCTTTGTTTGTGTAAGGATGTCATAAATATGCTGACATACTTTGTCAGTTGATCCCATTAGAGAAAAAGAGGCAGGAATCTGGACAAAGATCTTAAAATCTAGTTGCTTTAGTTTCAGCCTGCCATTAATTTGTCATTAGGTCTAAACTCAAGGGCATATATGTTTTTCAGAAATTAAAGGTGTTTTTTTTTTTTTTAAGATCATACCCTCAAAAGAAACCTTTGCCATCAAGTTGATTCTGGCTCATGGTGAGCCTGTAAGATAGCACAGAACCGCCTCTTTGGAGCAGAAAGCTCATCTCTCTCCCATGGAGTGGATTCCAACTGCTTACCTGTGGTTAGCAGCCAACACATAAACCACTACACCTTTCTAAGGTAGTGGTGCACCTTTCCATCTTTTCGTGGTGGAGTTTTGGTTAGTCAATTAAGCAGAAATTGAGAATTTGAACACCTTACTTTTCCTTCATTCTTTCCAAATGAAAATTTCTAGTTTGTGTTTTAAAAGTAGTGTCAAGGGCACTTTCTATTTAGATAGGAGAGAAACCAGATACTTTGATGAAGCGCTACAAATTCTCTATGGGAGAAACATAACAAAACTTGCCACATCAAATTTAGAACAAATAACTTCAAGTACTCTTTCTGACTTCAGTAGAAATAAAATTAAATGATCTTTACCCTTCTATCTGGTACTTGATATGTTTTGTTATTTCAATCAAATCTTTCCATTAGCTAATTTTTAGGACTTAGTGTTAAAAATGATCAAAACTACGGTGTCTCGTTCTTGCGCTTTGTAACCACTGTCAGACACCTTTCTAAGCTGGGAATAATACCTGAGGCTACAAAGAGAATCTCAGAAAAACTTACCACACACGTAGCCTTATCAAATTTGTTTCCCCAGATGTAGATGTTAGAGAGAGTGGTGTTTGTTTTCATGGCCCGTGAAAGTGCAACAAGTCCTTCTCCCTCTATGTTGTTACTGACTACTGACAACCTGTGGAAACAGAGGGAACACTGCAGCAGCAGTCCACAAAGGAGTCAGCAGCCACATTTATTACACACTTTGTATATCTAGTAGTAGTTTTTATTCAGTGTATTCTAATGGTACAGTCAAATGGCATCATTTCATGTATCTAGTAGAGTAGCCCACATTCTGAAAATGTTCTGGTTTCATTATGCAGTAAATGTTTGGGTGCATTACAGATTCCTCTCTTAGGATAAAGTCTTCCAAGTAGGATTTTATTTTCTTTGATTCCATCTTAGTTTTAAGTCTTGACCATATAGAACACTTAGTGTTTCTGCTGAAACTCAAGATAAATGACATAAGCACTGAGAATCTTCTCATTACTTTTAAGAAGCCACAGAGAATCAAACGAATTTTTTAAAGATAGTTTTTGGGGAAAAACAAAAGCAAACTAGACTTACTGTAACTTAATATGTCAATTTAGAAACTGAGTTCTCACATGAGTGTCATTTGGCTTAAATGTAAGGCCCATACTAACGCTTTCAGGGTCCTGTTGTGTGAGGCGAGAGTTTCACTGAGATAGTCTGCGCCTTTGTTTTCTATTCTGTTAAAAGAAAGATCTATGACTTCCAGGGTAGTGTTGCTTTTCAGTACATTAGCCAAAAACTCCATTCCATCTCGAGTTATTCTATTGCTGGGAAAAGAAAAATATTTCATTTATGTATGTGAACATACGAAGTATGGTTTTCTTAACCATAAAGATAAAAAATGTTTTAAGGCCATTAGGTAATAATAGAAAGTTCTCTATTTTAGGAAAGATTGAAATCACCCAGTTGGCAAGACAAATTAATGGAATTTTACCATAAAATACTGCTTCTATCCTACTTTATGTAAGTAAATTACTCATTTAAACTATTAAATCATTTAAGCTATTGAAGCTATAGCAGTATAGATGAAATAAGTAAAAAGGATTAAGCTAAAAGGTTCACCACAATGGCTCGATTTCCTGATCATTGGAATTACAAGATAGCCTTCAATATGAACATTTACAAAGACTTTGTACGATGTAATTTCCACATTACTTAATAAGAAAACGAGTGCTTACCAGCTGACATCAAGGTAGCGGAGGGTATTGTTCAGATACAATGCATCACACAACTGCTTAAAGCCACTGTTTGTCATATCATGCTTACACATGTGTAGTTCAACAAGGCAATGATTTTCTTTCAATGTGTGGCCCATGTGGACTGTGGACTCTTCCTAAAATTCAATAAAATCTTGTTTCTAAAGTATAATGTTCAAGCGGTACATATTTAGTCCAAACAGAATATCCTTACCTAAAAGCTTAAAAAAATGTTTTACTGGTTAAGACTTGTAAAAATGTTAAAAGACTAGTTAAATGTTAAGACTAGTTAAAATGTTTTCCTGGTGGATTCAAAGACTCCTGTCTTCAAATGGCTTAGGCTCACCATAAAGGAAACAAACATCCTTGCAACAAGCCAATCAGCCACATTGCAGTAGACACAAAAAAGACTGCCCATCAGAAATGGACAGCACTTCCTCCTTCAGCGTCTGTGCTTAGTCAGGAAGCTGTTCAAACCTGTTGACCACAGATGACTTCTGCTGGCCTAACTTCCAGCATCACCAAAACCCACCAAAGCCCCTGCTGTTGAGTCTATGCTGACTCAGTGACCCTATAGGACAGGATCGAACTGTGTCTGTGTTTCCGAAACCTCACTCTTCGCGGGCGTAGAAAGTCCTGGCTTTCTCCCAAGGAGCTGGTGGGTTCAGGGCTGCTGCCGACCTGTGCGTAGCGGCCAACACACAACCACGCCCAGCAACACCCGAGTCACTGCAGTACATCATACTGACAGATGAGTAGTGGAGAAAGGCTGGAGTTGTCATCAAGGTCTCATTTTACTTGGAAGCACAACGCAGTCAAGAACTCACATGATGAAAAATAGCAAATGACACTGTTGCATTGGGCAAATTGCTCAAGACCTATTGAAGATGTTGAGAAAAGATGTCATTGTCTGAATGCTGTCATTTTCAGTAGGCTGAAGTGAACTAACGATGAAGGGTGCCTGGTCCAAGCCATGGAGTTTCTAATTGCCTCACATGAAGGCTATTCATTGAATATTCAAAATAAGGAATTAATATCTTTGAATTATGGAGTAGGAAAAGGATATCGAAATGTGCAATCGACAGTCAAAACGAACACATCGGTGTTGTTGGAAGATCAGACAGAATGGTCCTTGGAAGCAAAGATGGCAAGACCTCATCTCACGTGCTTGGTCCATGTCATCAGGAGAGCCCGGTCCCTCCTGGTTGGTAAAGTGGAAGGTCATTGAAGAAGAGGAAGAGCATCATTGAGATGGGTTGATACATTAGCTGGAACAATGGGATCAAATGTGGGTGTAATTGGGTGGGTGGCACAGGCCTGGGCAGTGTTTTGTTCTGTGGTACATAGATTTATTTTCCTGGGGAGCTGACTCAAAGGCAGCTAGCAACAATTTGATTATAATTTACATTTTTCTAGCCTGGTGGTTTTTTTGTTTTTTGTTTTAAATCTGTTGCAAATTATAGCTTTTACACACTTGCATGCAGCAGGCACTTATAAAAGGGGGTTTCAAAAAGTTTGTGGAAAAATGGAATTAAAGATAACGGAATTTTCCCAGAACCTTTGAAAGCCTCCTTTATACAATGACTGCACTGATTGATACAGTGGCTGCAACAATGGGCTCAAATATAACAATTGTAAGGATGCCTTATGACTTAAGGTACCTTAAGGGCATACTTAAGGTAATGAATGGGAACCTAAACAATAGACAATTTAATATAAAATAGACAATAATTAATATAGACTCATTTGATTTAAAACAATCATTTCAGGAGGTTCAAAAAGGCCCTGACATATGATTAGCATATAAAAAAATAAACCCATTACCATCTGACTCTAAGCAACCTGACAGGGCAGAGTAGCCTCCATAGGATATCCAGGACTGAAGTCTGCTTGTTTGGGGTTGCTACCTGTAAGCGTGACCCTATAGCAGGTGGCCTCAAACTACAGCTTCAAACATGTGGCCCACTGAGGACATCCGGCCGGCTGGGTGTTTTTGCCCAGTTTGTTTTTTACTTCAAAATAAGATATGTGCAGTGTGCATAGGAATTTGTTCATAGTTTTTTTTAAAACTATAGTTTGGCCCGCCAATGGGTCTGAGGGACAGTGAACTGGCCCCCTGTTTAAAAAGTTTGAGGACCCCTGCCCTATAGAGTAGTGGTTCTCAACCTGTGGGTCACAACCCCCTTTGGGGGTCGAACAACCCTTTCACAGGAGTCGCCCAATTCATAACAGTAGCAAGATTACAGTTATGAAGTAGCAACAAAAATAATTTTATAGTAGGGTGGGGTCACCACCACGAGCTGCTGTATGAAACGGGAACCCCTGCAGAAGTTTTCTTCATGAGGTAGTACCACAGTAAGATGGAACCTAGCTCCCTTTGGGGTTATGAAAAGACTATCATATGCACATGGGATGGGAGTTGGGGGGTGGGGGAGGGCGAAGAATGCCATGGATTAATTAATGGCAGTTCCAAACTAGGAGAGCGAACCATTGAGGGAATCCAGTCGAGCCTTTAGAACTGAGAATCATTTTCTCATCTTTAAAGACCCACTCTATGGCATCCCTAGGCAACTACGACAGACCTTCGTGAGGATTTGAATACCAAGGATTTCAATGTATAACAAAATCACAGCATGCCTTATGTGCAAGCACTTTTAAAAAGCAGACGGCCATGTGAAACCAGGAGCTGAAGTACATGAGCACTCTAACAGTCAAGTATCCAGATGCCAGCGTGACCTTTACTAGCTTTGTAACTTAGGGCAAATTAGGGCAATTATGTAATCAAGCCTTCTCCTGTTCCTGTTCTGTAACACAAATACAAATGAAATTATACTTCCCTCAGAGAACTGAACAAAAAGGACATGGTGCAAAGTAGCTGGCCTTGTGGGTGAAGTGTCGGGCTGCTAACTGCAAGGTCAGAAATTAAAACCCACCAGCGAGCGAGCAAGGGGGTGGGGGGGAGCTGGCTGTTCCCGCAAAGATTTAGTCTCAAAACCCTGTAGAGTCCCCGCAAGTGGGGATCGACTCAGTGGCTGTGGGCTTGGGGCAAAGTAAGTCTGTTCTATAAGAAAATGCAAAGCATCTCATTACTGTTCAGTATTCTCTTCTTACGTGTCTGATTTGTTGAAATTACTGCTTTGATATTGAAAAGATACATTCCCTAGGGATGCTGTTTAGCCTAGGTTTGCAAAAAAAAAAAAAAAAAGGCAAACGGATCATTTTGGAGGTTCCACTATTGCTCTACCTGGTGACCAGCACTGAAGCTGCATTGATAAAGACTTGGGTGGGTGTACTTTCACCTTCAAATCTTCAGTCATGTCCTCAATCTGACAAATTTCCCCACCACCCACTTCCCGCTGCTTCCATTCTGATGCCCTTTATGGTCCCAGGGCAGTGAGGCGGATCACTCTTGAGACTTCATTTCAAACGTTGGCACCTCTCCGTGTAGATGGGGGGATCTGTGAGGACCAGGGCCGTGTGCTTCATTTGACTTTCCAGACCCTAACACTGGTGTGTAGTTACACTCAAATACTGAGTAATGAGTCGTGACAAGACAATCCTCCTGGCAAGCTACTGTAAGCCAGGCATTTTGCTGATCCTGGGAGTACTTTGGTGTGTGCTGTTGAGTCTCGGTGAACCTGGATCAGATGACCACATCTTTGTCCTGAGGAGTAGCTGGTGGCTTTGAACCCCTGACCACGAGGAGCTGAGTGCTTAACCACTGTGCCACCAGGGCTTCTATGCTTTGGGTTCTTGTATTTGAGGATTCAGGGTGTGCTTTTTAACAGATTAGAGTCTGTGAAGTAATTAGCATACGAATACAAACATCTTGATCCAGAAAAGTACAGAGAAAAATCAAAGGAAGAGGTGACAAAAAAAAAAAACTTTTGAAAAGTGAAAATAATCACTTTAAAAATATGGTTCATTCTGAATTATACTTACAGCCAACAATGACAAAGATGCAATGCTATACTTTTGTCCAGACCAGTCATAAAGTGAATGAATTCTTAGCCCAGGACTTTCTATAACTAATGGAAAAAGAAAGAAATACACCCAAGAGGAATGTCAAGTTGTCAGGAAGAAGCCTTCAGTCAAACTGTCTTTTTCATCTTCAACATGGAGCTGATCCTACAGCACAGGTTCCCAAACGTACTTGGTCCACCGTCCCCTTTTCAGTGTGGGGGGAATATATATATATGTAGATATATAGCACATACTTTTCTCCCCACAACTGGGCAATGGGAAATTTTTGTACTGTAGCCCATGATCCAGGATAAAGTGTAGGTGTCTGCTTTTCCAGCGGGCCCTGGGATCAGTCCAGCACCCCCTGCAGGCAGTATTGTCCACTTTGGGGAACAGTGACCCTAGGATCAAGTCCAGACTTGCCAACCTGCTATTCATGCACATTTCAAAGACAATTCAAAGATGCAGTAGTTCAGTCACCACAGTTAACATACTAAACAGCTCACTCTGGGCTATCTTAGAGCCTAGTTGTTGTAACCTCAGCCATAGATTTGCCCTCACAAGTTTACTCACAGTACTGGTTCCCACAAGAGGTGAAACGTTTGCTAAGTAAATGAGCAATACCTAACGTTATAGTTATGAGTATTATTAATACTGCAGTGATTTCCTATAAATAGAACTTTCTTAGTAAATATCATCATTCATAAGGTACAATGAAGTACAGTTACAATAACCAAGTACATTCTCGAACCTTGAAACAGCAGTACCTTTAAGGTATTCACTCACATGTTGTTATACTCACTTTGAAAACCTACCTGCTCGCCATAAAGTATAGGACGGTTTAGGTTAATTCCCTTCATTGCTTGGTTTTGAGTTAATACTGTTGCAAATGCTATCACACATTGCATGCCCTGAAACAGATGGATTCATTAAGGAACTGTGCAAAGCACACACATTACTTTCCCTAACCAAACATGTTTGTTATCTTCGATACGTAAAAATGACAGTTGATTACACTTTTTGAATCGAAGGCTGATCGGATTCAGAAAGGAGTCGTTACCATGTTCTTTTCCCCCTGCCCTGATGTCTAGAGCATGTGGGGCGCGGGGGGGGGGGAGGGGGGAAAATGAGGACCTAATGTCGGGGCTCTTAAAGCTTCAGTACCCCTTATTCCTGGGGTGTTTACCTCTGGGTGGGCTTCCAAATCCCCAAAGTTCCATGTGGGATTTGCAAAACTCAGATACACAGATGTACGTGTGGATCTCAGCATGGGTTAAAACTGCTCGTATATCACATCCCTTTTTACAAGTATTATTTTATACTGGCACTTCAAGTGTGTATGTGGTGGTGAGGGGGGAAGAGTTACTGGTCATATGTTTCACAACCCCTACCGGCCTCCCTCCCTCCCCCTTACTGGAACGCTCCAATCCCCTATCTCTGTGGTGACCACCACCATACACCCTACTGTTAAGCCAGAAAAATTGCAAGCATAACCATCCTTGGCCATGGGAGATTGGTGCCTACTATCGAAATCGAACTTACTCTGCTTCTGTTTCATGTAAGTACCGACTGCTTTATCGATGCCTAGCATGTCAACTGTGACCTCTGGATGCCACCTCCAAAAGATGTCTCAAATCAGTCACCTTGTCTCCTTTCTCTGGCCAAGACCTGAGCCCCAGTCCTCATCCCCTCTCACCTAGAATGCTGTTGTAACTCCCTAAGCGCTGTGTCCTCACCTACTTCCTCATTGAAAAACCAGAGTGATCTTTTGAAAGCATCAATCAGATCAGCGGATCATGCCCCCTGCTAATTAAATAAAGCCTTTCCAAGGTTTCCCATGGTATTTACAACCAGAACTTTGAACACATTCTTCCTTGTTCAGTCATGAGTTATGGCCGATGGAGTGAACCTGAAATGGACTAAAATCTGTGAAATGTGGGTGAACCAGTTCCAATAACTGGAACGGAGAAAATTACAGAAACTAGAAACTGCTAGAAACTCCATCACTCTCTTAGAAAATCAGGGCTCCATTGCAATGCATAGCAACCAAATGTATTGATCAGCAAAGTAGGAAACAAGGGTCTCCTGCTCAAAGATGGCAGCCAACTGCATTGTTTTAAATGTGTACCATTCTCTACAGTCAAGGCAATAATCCTAGTTCCTACACCAGAGGTTCTCAACCTTCCCAATGCTGCGACCCTTTCATACAGTTCCTCATGTGGTGACCCCCCAACCATAAAATTATTTTTGTTGATACTTTATCACTGTAATTTTGCTACTGTGATGAATCGGGCGACCGTTCAACCTCCAAAGAGGTCATGACCCACAGGTTGAGAACTGCTGTCCTACATCATGTTCCTGAAAGAACTCACTCTGCCTTTTTCAGGTCTCTAATTCCAGGGCTTTGACCCAGGATTTTCCCTACTTCTGTTACTGCCCGCCTCACCCAAATTTTAGAAATTTGATTCTCTTCTGATAAATTGCTCCATGGGCATCGCTGAACTGGTTCAAACAGATTCAAGATCCCGTTTACAGCACAGTCCTCTCTCCTATCCTCCAACCCACTGACTTTGCCTACTCTGGATTCTTCCAGACACGCATACTCCCTGATGCCCAGCCACGAGCCCCTTCCGTTCCTTCTCGCCAGCCCCCAGGCTCTTCCTGGCTTCCAAGCATCTTCATTACTCATGTACTCCCTCGTGGTTTCTGTCACATCAGAATATCCCTTCCACTATGAATACTTTTATGTTACATCAACTCAGAGTATTACTATTATTAATTGGAAAATAAAAGTTTATATCATTACTCTAAATGGAAAACTAGAAATCCTCCAAATCAGTATACTTATAAAAATCCCAGTATTAAAATTACCTCCCTCTCTACCAAGAAGACGTCTCCTAACGTACTTAGAAGCCCTAGCTGAGGGTCTCTGCTTGCTACACTCCTTGCCTAGAGCGTTCTGTCATGGACCATTCACCACAGCAGTGTCTTTTCATCCTGACTCCTAAAGATGAATCCCTTACAGCAGTCTTCATTGAGCTTGGGTTGCACAGTGGTTAAGGCACTCAGCTGCCAACCTAAAGGTTGATGGTTCAAACCTACCAGCTGCTTTGAGGGAGAAAGATGTGGCAGTCAGCTGCTGTCAAGATTACAGTGCCTACAATTAGGCTTGTCTAAGGGTTGTTATAATAGCTGTAAGAGCTCCCAATAAAATGATTAAACAAGAAATAAATAAATTGGGGGGAGGAGATTATAGTGCCAAGGAACCCTGGTGGTACAGGGGCTTTACAATTTGGGCTGCTAACCACAAGTTCAGCAGTTTGAAATCACGAGCTGCTGCTCAGGAGAAAGAGGAGGCTTTCTGCTCCTGTAAAGAGTTACAGTCTCAGAAATCCACAGGGGCAGTTTGTCTCTGTCCTCCAAGGTCACTTTGAGTCAGAACTAACGCGACGGCAGGAGCTTCTGGGCACGTCCCCTCGGTCGGACTCGGAGATGCCGTGGCTTGGAGGCAGCGGGTTTGGTTGGTTTGGAGAGAGGCATTCCACCATCCTATCTTGGGAGGGTCTTCATCTCAATTATAGAAGCACCCTGTTTGTCCGCTACATAGCACGTTTCTCTGTTTGCTTATTGATAGTCTCCCAACTCGAATAGTAAGCTCCATGAGGGCAGAAGAGGAGCCCTGGTGGCAAGAGCGGGTTAAGGTCGGCTGCCAACTGAAACCTCCAGCTGCTCCTCGGAGCAGGATGAGGCCTTCCGCGGCCACAGCAGCATTAGTCCCAGAAAGCCAGGGGGCCGGTCGTCCCCGTCCTGTAGGGTCGCTCTGAGTCTGACCTGTAGGGTCGCTCTGAGTCTGAAGAGACTCAGTGAGTTTGGTTTGCTTCCTAAGGGTAGAGACCATGTTGGGTGACTGTTGTCACTAGCACAGTACCTGGCATGCGCAGACCATAAATACTGAAGAATCAACGCTTTCCCATACTCGCCGTCCCTACCTCTTTTTAAAGGCAGTCTTCCAGAACCTGTCCCGCCAAATAGCCTCCTGGCCCATCTCACTGTGGTGTGTGCCCCAGTGGCTGCACTGAACCTCCGTCTGTAGAGTGGGTGTACAGCTTTGGAAGCGCGTGGAAAGAGCAAAGCCTGCAGTCTGAGGACGTGCAGAGAGCACACATTTCTCTTCATCGGGCCACAGGAAAGCTACCACCACTTCAGCGATTATCATGCCTCCTTCCTACAAGTGTTTCCAAAGGTGAAAAATATAAACCAATGACTCTCTCATCTGGTGTCATTTAAAAAAAAGTCACACTTGACTGTATTTCAGGTGCAAGTTTACACAGCAAACTTGCTTGTGTGGTTCAAATGAACAAGATTGGTTTCTTGTAAAATTCCCATACAGGTGAAGTTGGACTGGATGGAAAGTGAGGAATATTTTTTGTCATAGTGGGTATTTTCCTAGGATGTTATTTACTACAATCTGATCATGAACAGTTATGTTGAGGAAGATACATGTCTGATGTTAGACAGGGGCATGACAAAATGGCTCAGTGGGCTGAGGGTCTCCTAAACAATCCTGCTCGAGGCTGGTTTCCTGGGACAAGGGCCTCCCACATCGGGGTGATTCTCTCATAACTGACTTACTCACCAGATCACAGTCTCCCAGGTCTAATTTCTCTAAAGTTGAATTAATTTGCAGCATTGAAGCAAAAAACATCCCACCTTTATTTCCAATCTTGTTTCCAGTCATCCTTAGGTATTTCAGAGTTGTATTCTTCTGAAAAGGAAAAGTATGAAGACTTAGATATTTAAGGTTTGAAGCCACAAGATTCTCTTTCAGTCATCTGCGTTAGACTGCTTTCCTATGTTCCTTAAAGTAATGGTCAATTTCTCCTAATAGATAAAAATCTCATTTGATAGCAAGAATATTCAGGAAACCAATATTCAAACCATGACCAGTAAATAAAACAACTTAGAATAGACTTTCCCCTAGAAAAAAATAAACATTTATCTTTTAAGAAAATGATCACTTTCTTATGGCAGTAACATTCACATACATGAATTACCCATGTCGTTGTGTGCACTGCAGTATCATTTAACACAGTCACAGTATTGTGCCCCCATCACTTCTGTCCGTTCCAAAACACTGTCACCACCCCCACAGGAAATCTTGTATCCATCAGCAGTCTATCTCTAGTCTGGTGTCAATTTTTTTCTTTTAAATCACACTTTACTGTGTTTTGGGCGCAAGTTTATACCGTAATTTATGTTTCATTTAACAATCGCTGCACAAATTGTTCAGAAACATTGGCTACATTTTTCACATTGCTGGTATTCTCGTTATGTCCCTCTGGATGTTTCGTTTCCAGCAGGCTGATGTCCCTGCCCCCTCCGTACCCCGTTCTCTTTTCTTTGGAGCAATTGTTGGCCACCTGGTTTCATGTAGAGGATGTTTTTAAAAGATCAACAGTGTGAAACAGTTACAGATTTGGCCCGTGACCAGAGTTTGCCTTCTCACTGCCGTCACGTGGCACCCCATAGGGCAGAGTATCACTGTCCTTGTAGGTTTCTAAGACTAAATCTTTATAGGAGTAGAAAGCCTTATCTTTCTCTTGAGGAGTGAATGGGGGTTCTGAACTGCTAGCCTTTTGGTTAGCAGCCTGTGTTAGGCAGGGTTCTCTAGAGAAACAAACCCTTACGATTTTATATATATATATATATATATATATTCACAAAGGAATATAACTAATCAGTCCACACAGCAGTACAGAGGGCTCAGTTCAACTCACTTGGAAGTCCTTCAAAGCATGACGGCTGCTGGGTCCCAGGTCAAGGAAACAGACAGCTGAGTCTTCCCTTGGACAATGCAGGCAGAGTCCACTCACAGGCAGCAAACAGCAGGGAAGGTCACCAACAGTCAGCAGCTCAGAAGCTTAGCAAAGCAGGCCCAGATGGGATATTGTACTCAAGCAATGCAAGAGGACAGGATCCACCAGCCTCAAAGTCAAGCGATGTACACACCAGCAGCATGGCGAAGCAGGTCTCAAAGGAATCTCAAGCTCTAGATCCACGAGATGGGTGTCCACAGATAGTGTAGCTCACAAGTTAGGCAGAGAACTAGCTAAAGCAGCCGCACGCTGGTCTGATCATCAGAGAGTGAGAGAGTGAGGGGTGGGGCTTGCTGAGTCATTTATCTCTTGGCTCTCCAATCGAACTGCGACCTGATTAACCTCACATGTTCCTATTGGCCAGGTTGGCACAATAAACCTACCTATCACACAGCCCAATGAATAACCCCCTACACCAGAGCTTCTAGGTGCACAGTACACACTGATACTATTCTTTATTGTATGAGCCGATCTGTTTTTCAGTTTAAAAGTACCCTTGGGTAGTTTCAGTTCAAGGGTTACGGAGTACATCATGGGGAGTCTTTTAGTTCCAGCTGGTCCCATTCGTCTGAACTTTTCTTAAATTTTAGTTCTGTTCCAGGTTGTCCCTTTCTGTTCAGATTCACCTACTGTCTTTAGTGATGGCTGGGCACCACCTGGTCTCAGGCGGTGAGGGGTAGATGAGACAGGGTTCATGTAGACCATGGGTTCTCAAAATTTGGCATACCGCCGCTTTTTCAAAAAACAACTCAGCACCTCCCTGGCAATGAAAACCTGCACTAGCTTATAAAGGATAATGTATAGGTTTCTGCTTTTTCAGCCCCCCACACCGACACCAATCACTCAAGCGCCCCCCAGAAGGCAGTATGCTATTTTGGGAAACACTGCTGGTGTATGAATTCTGCAGACTAATTTCCTCGTGTATCATTTCTAAACTGGTATATTTCCTCAGACATTTGCAAAGTTTAATTCAATCTTTTATTCTGTTCTTTGGATGAATCTTACACATAAAAATACATATGGTTCATAGCTCTGGTGGATAAATATTAGACCATATAGGAGTACCTATATTTAAAATTAATTTGAATTGAACAAGATGATCTAGTCAACATTGCGCTACAGGTTCTAATAAAAGAAATTAGCCAAGAAAAGGACAGTTTAGGGGCATACAAAAAGCAGAAATTTATTTGCATATGATATGATCTTGAATGTAGAAAATCCAAATATGCCATAAAAAACAAAACACAACTATCAAAACTAATAAACATAGTATAAGCGTTTGACCCCGCTATGCCAGTCCTCACTGTATATGCAAAAGAACTGAATGGAGCTCAAACAAATAGGGTAATCATGTTCCAATATTCCCTCTAGCACTTCCCACAGTCATCAAACAGCAGAAACATCATAAATGTCCATCAGGAGATGAATGGATAAACAAAGTGTGCCACATACACACAATGGACTGTCGCTCATGAAAAGAAGCAAAGTTCTGATCTATGCTACAACAACAAACCTTAAAAACATGATGCTGAATAAAATAAGTCGATTGCAAAGGACAATGTAAGATACCACTTATATGAAATATCTAGAATAATCAAATCTGTAGAGACCAAAGTGCATCCATGGTTACCAGGGGCAAGAGGAGGAACCCTGGTGGGGTAGTGGTTATGTGTTGGACTGATAATCACAAGGTCACCAGTTCAAAACCACCAATTACTCCATCTTTCTCTTTTCCAAGGGAGAAAGATGGTGAGATTCAATTCTACCCTGTCCTATAGGGTCGCTATGAGTTGGAATCCACTCAGTGAAAGTGAGTTTGTTTTATTTCAGGAGCAACAGGAGGGGAAAAGGGGACTGAGCTTTTGTTCAAAGGTGATAGAAAACATTTTATTTATTTATTTTTTTTAACATTTGTATTAAGTTTATTTTATTATATGCAGATGCCAGTGTATATAAAACAACCCTTGTGAAATAGAAATTCATGAAAATTCAGAGAGGTAGATGTTAAGGACTGACAAAAGTAGAAGTTTGTATAGTATGGCACATGTAACTGTGAAGACAAGCTTTTGTACAAGTTCAAATTTAGCTCTCCTTGAATATTCACTGGTTCATGAGAAGTGGCTTAGGAAACCTTTGAAAGATTTATCTTACTACAAAAATGAACAGACTTTCTGGGGTCTAAAGGGATTTGTACTCGAAGATACTCCAGTCAACAGGGGGTCATGTTGAGCATTCTGCAGACAAAACTGTTTCAAATCTGCAGCTGCCTGGGAAACTTTCACACGGTTGAGCCCGGCCTCCAGCCGGAGCTGCTGAACCACTTTCTTCATGGCTGCGACACTGGAAGAGCCAGATATGGCGAGCAACAGGGCGAGGAGACGTTCGTTTCTCGGTCGTCGGCTCGGCGGGGTCGATAGAAAATATTTTAAATGAACAGTGCTGATGGTTGTAACCACATGCTGAATGCAATTAATGTCACTGAATTGTATACAGAAATGTTTTGAACTAGGCAAATTTTTGTTGGTACTAAAATTTAAAAATAATACATCCTCAAAATATTAAAACATAAGTTCATAATGTGTACTGAAGTTCACATTAACATTTGATTCTGTTGGAACCACACTATCAGAAGTTAAAATACCCAAATAAAATATTAGTTTGCGGTATCTAAATGCTTACCTGTAGTGATTTAGCAATCAATTCTCCACCATCAGGCCCAATATCATTAAACATGAGGTTTAAGTAAGTGAGATTAAGTTGTTTCTAGAATAAAAAGAGAAGTTATTGCACATGTGTTATTGGAAATTGATCAAGAATATGTATTTCAGAGTACTTTAAGTAAAAGTTTTTATCTTAAAAATCTGTGAAAAACACAGAAAAAATGTAAAAGTGTAACAAAAGCAACTATTGTTGTTGGGTGCCATTGAACCGGTTCCAACCTGAAGTTCAACAGAACAAAGCACTGAGCAGTCTGGAGCCATCCTTGCGGTCTTCCCGAGAGTTGAGCCCATCGAAGTGGCAGCCACCGTGTTGGTCCATTTCCTTGAGGGTCTTTCTTCCCTCTTTTCAGCTGACCCTCCACCAAGCGGGCGCCCTTCTCTAGGTCTCCTTCTCGCATTTCCGAAGTATCGAGGACAAAGCTTGTCTCCAGGATCATTCTTGGCTGTGGGTCTTCTACAACAGATGAGACCTGTTCATCGCCGGCAGCCTATGACACGCTCCATATTCCCCGTCTTCAGCTTTCCTGGCATATGAAATAGCCAGCTTGCACGTGCAAATGAGGGGAACGAAAATACCTTGGTTTGGGTCGGGTGTACCTGAGTCATTAAAGTACTACCTTTGCTTTTTATGTGATTTTTTTGGTTTGTTTTTTAACTATTGTGAATTGAGTGAAGGTTTACAGAGCCTATCAGTTTTCCGATCAGCTATTCATACAGCTTTTGCTTCATGATTGATTGTAATTCTGCTTTTTAAGTTTTCAAGAGGTCTGTTGCAACAGTGTTGCCCAATGCACTATGTTCTTTGATTTCTTGGCTGCTGTTTCCAAGTGAGTCCAAGTGAAATAAAATTCTCCACAACTTCAGTACTTTCTCCAGTCACGATCCCTGGCAGAGTCCTGGATAAGCATTGGCTGTTACCCGAAAGGTGGGCAGTTTAATCCCACAACCACCCCATGGAAGCACCACGTGGCGGTCTCGGTCCAGGAGGAGGCAGCTTTGAAGCCCTGCGGTGGAGCTCTCCTCTGTCCTAGAGGGCTGCTCAACGTCAGAGCCCACTCGATGGCAATGGGTTTGGTTCCTTTGGGCTTCATCATCTCATTGCTGATGGGTCCACCTCGGAGGATTTTCCTTTTCTTCATTTTGTGGTTCTATCAGCAAGAGCTTCAGGTCCTCTTGGCTTTCAGCAAGCAAGGTGTGCCGTCTGCATAGTAAAGTTACTAACAAGCCTTCCTCCAGCCCTGTAGCTGGGTTCCTCTTCCTATAGCCTAGCACCTCAGATTATTTGCTGGGCATACAGGTTGGATAGGTATGGCGAAAGGAGACCACCCTGATACACGGTTGCTGGTTTCAAACTACCCACTGTCTCCTGTTAGCAGATCTGACTGTGGTGGCTTGCATGCTGCTGTGATGTGGGAAGCTGTGCCACCCATATTTCAGCCACAGGTGTCAGAGAGCTTTTAGACTAAGACAGACTATGAAGACGGACCTAGAAATCTACTTCTAATTTCTAAAAAAAATTAGCCAGTGAAGACTTTCTGAATAAGCAATTGTCATTGGTGATGGTCAAGGGGACTCACCATTCTCATTGAAACATACATATAATTGCATTCTACATGAAACAAAAGATCAGATAGTATTTGTGTCTAATGATTCAAAGTATGCAGATGGTCATGAATCTGCGTACTTCTGGTCTACAGCAGGCGTCACAGGATAACTCAGGAGCTCTAGGGACAGTCGGCTCTACATGACCAATGCAGGTGCATATCCAGGGCATTTCAAGTGTTACAACAGAGTCAAGACCCTTGATCTTTTGCATAATGAGTGCTCCATGGGTGTGACATTAGTCTAAGTAGCCTCACTCTATACATCTTACAGGAAAACAGTACCTGAAGCAGCTTTGCAGCGTAGTACGCACCAACATCTTTTAAGGTGTTGTATCTGACATCCAAACCTGGAGGACACAAGTGGAGAGGCAGGTCTACCTTACCATGAACTCTTACCAACCAGGTCAGTGAAAAGCAGGAGGTTTTGATTCTTCAAGAGACAGACCAATAAAATATGAATTCTTCTTTAAAATTCTGTAAAGTATCCAAAAATCTTCCCCTGTTACTCTTTCTACAGGTACTAAGCGGTTGTTACCAGCAATGTTTAATGTGATTCCATTTTCCAACCTGTTCAAATAAAAAGATTTTGAAGTGCAAAGAACCCAGTAAGGGGAGGGAATGTTTTTTCCTTTATGTGTATACCAGGGTAGATCAAAAAGTTTCATTATAAAAATCACAGAGACGGTTTTATTAAGTAAATATATCAAAATGTGATGCTACTATTTTTCAACATATCCTCCCTATCTAAATACTACTTCTCTTTTTTTTAGGTTTCTGAAACGAAATCTTTTTAAAAATGGTTTTATCGGCATCTTTTCACAAATATAATTCATAAATCATACAATTCAAAAGTGCAACCACATGAGGAAGCATTGCATAGTCATCACAATCCATTTTAGAAACATTTTCTTCCTTCTTGAACTGTTATTAGCTCCCCATTTCCCCCAACCTCCCCTGAATATGTCTCAAGGTGGCATTTCCCTCTCTAACCTGTACCCAGGGAATTCATTCGTTTCTCTCCCACTTACACCACATCCTCAAGGGACACAGATCCTGTTTCTTTTAATGCTCTTTGCATTTGGGGAACAAAAAAGAAGTCTGTAGGGGCAAGACCAGGATACAATAGGAGTTTCCCTACGAAATTTTTGTATGGAATTCTTAGAAGAATAAGTGGGTGCTTTGTTGTAATAGGTGGGTAGAGGGGAAGCGCAAAACAAAAACTTCTTTGGCACACCTCTCCTGGACATTTTCTCCCCTGTGCAGGTATCAGAGGTCTTTGAACTTCTTCCGAATAAGCCCCTGCGATTGTCCGGTGTCCTTCTAGACCAGCGGTTCTCAACCTGTGGGTCATGACCCCTTTGGGGGTGGAACAACCCTTTCAGAGGGGTCGCCTGATTCATAACAGTAGCAAAATTACAGTTATGAAGTAGCAACTAAAATGATTTTATGGTTGGGGGTCACCACAACATGGGGAACTGTATGAAAGGGTGGCGGCATTGGGAAGGTTGAGAACCACTGCTCTAGACAGTCTATCAAGATTACCTCTTTGGGATTCCAAAAAACAGTCGCCATAATTTTCTCAACTGACCTCTCTGCCTTGAACTGGTCCAACAGATCCCCTCAAAAGCACCAGACTAAGACAAGTGTATTACTGAGAGAACTGGACAGATGGCCACCTCCTGATCACAGAGACATGTTTCAACATGTTTGGAACCAGCCTGTGCATGCATGTCCTGGACCTATAGTGACAACACGTTTGGATATTGCCCTAGTATAGGACAGATTTACTGGACTCAATTTTTATGCATCACAATATTGTAGACTTGCACTGCATGACTTAAAACATTACTGAGCAATCTACAGACTTTGTACTTTATTATATACTATGTCATTGAATTCTTCTCAAAGAAAATACTATGTTACCCTGATTTAGAGATATGCGCTGAAGTCTTCAATAATTTATTTGCCTCCATTTAGGGGGCAGAAAGACAAATCTGGAGTCCAGGCCTATGGACTACTGATCTCATGTTCTTCCCTGTGTTGTATACTGACACTGAGACCCAAGACAGTCTGGGGCAGCTACAAGATTCTTCTGAATCACAGAATCTGCCCATTTTACCAAGCATTTTTGAAAGCTTCTATCATCCCTCTGGTTTTAGAACCCCCGTGCAGGGCATGCTGACCACATCATGAAGTGTTTGTCTTCCTTACCCCTTTTTAATTTGTTCATCCACTTCGCTCAGTATGTAAAACACAAAAGGGTTAATTTTCTGAGTCTTTTCCTTACACAGATTATAGTACTGTTTCCGGAGGCTGAGAGTAGATGATGAAGCTTTGAAAAAGAGAAATACAACACTCTTCATTACAAAGAAGTCATTGTACAAGTTTGATTCCCACCCACCCCCATGATTATAGTCTTTCAAATATATAAACCTGTGTGTAGCTATCTAGAGTGGGGGTGGAGATAGGAGAGGGATTAGGATAAACAAACACAAAACAAACTCACTGCTATCAAGTTGATTCTGACCCATAGCGACCCTACAGAACAGGGTAGAACTGCCCCTGTGGGTTTCCAAGAGAGTAATAAATCTTTATGACCCACCACTTGTCTGTTGGTTTGTCATACTGTGGCGGCTTGTATGTTGCTGTGCAGCTGGAAGCTGTGTCGATGGTATTTCAAATGCCAGCAAGGGCACCCAAAGTGAAAAGGTTTCGGCAGCGCTTCTAGACTAAGAACAGACTACAGAGAAGCACCAGGCTGTTCACTCGGAGGAACTGGCCGTTAAAAACCTTACGGATAGCATCAAAACACTGTCAGATCCTGAAAACTTCATGAATACAAACAATACTTTCAGAAATCGGGCCAGATGATGAACTCCTGAAGCCGGAAGGCACTCAAACTATGACGGAGGAAGAGCTGCCTTCTCAAAGCAGAGGCCGCCATAAGGACGGGGTAGGAGTAAAGCCTGCAGAACCTTCATTTGCTGTTGAGGCATAGCTCAAGAGACAAAGCGAGAACTGGAAACATCACTTCAGAATCATAAGTTGGAATGTACGAAGTATGTATCCAGGAAAACTGGAAGTTGTCAAAAATGAAATGGAACACAGAGATCGGTATTCTCGGCAGTAGTGAGCTGAAACGGACTAGTATCAGCCATTTGGAGTCAGAAAGCCGTCTGGTTTACTGTGCTGGGAATGACAGTCCAAGAGGAATGACGTAGTCAGCCTCGAAAAGGACATTTCAAGAATGACCTTAAGTACAACGCTGTCTGTGATAGGATATTGATCTGTCCACATGGAGATCAAATTAATACAACTATTATTCAAATTCAAGCACCAACACGAGAGCTAGTGATGCAGAAGTTGAAGAATACTATCAACGTTTTCGGTGTGGAATTTATCAAACATTCAGTCAAGATGCATTGATAATTGTTGGAGATTGGAATGCAAACAATGGAAACAAAGAGGAAGGAAAATATGGTGTGGGTGATAGACAAAGCTGGAGATGGCATAAGGCCAACGATTTCATTGCAAATATCTTTTTTCAACACAACACAAGAGGCTATACATGAGGACTTCTCCAGATGGAAAGCAGAGAAGTCAGATTGACTACATCTGTGGGAAGGGACACTAGAGCAGCTCAGTATCAGCTGCTAAATCCAGGCTCGGGGCTGACTGTAGAACAGACCATCAATTGCTCATAAGTCAGTTCAGGCTGCAGACAATTGAAACTCGTCTACAAGAGCCAAAATACAACCTTGAGTCCATCCATCTGAATTTCGAAAATCTCTCAAGAACTGATTTGAAAGCATTAGGCAAAACCAAGGCTCCAGGGATTGATGGGATACCCATGGAAATGTTTGAACAAGTGTATGAAGCATTGGGAGCACTCCCTGGTCTATGCCAGGAAATTTGGCCAACTGACTGGAAGACATCATATTTGAACCCATTCCAAAGAACTGTGACCCAATAGAATGCTCAAATTATAGAACAACATCACATGCAAGTAAAATCTTTCTGAAGATCATCCAACAATGATTGCAGTAGTACTCTGATAGGCCAGATTCAGAAGGGGACATAGACAAGGGATATCACTGCTGATGTCAGATGGATCTTGGCTGACAACAGAGAAGTAACACAAAGATGTTTGCTTGTGTTTTATTGACTATGCCAAGGCATTCGACTGTGTGGACCACAGGAAACTATGGATAACTTTGAGAAGAATGAGAATTCCAAACACTTGATTGTGCTCAGGTGGGACTTGTACATGGATCAGGAGGCAGTGAGGCAAATAGAACAAGGAATTACTACATGGCTTAAAATCAGGAAAGGTGTGCACTAGGGTTGCATTCTCTCATCACACTTATTCAATCTGTATGCTGAGCAAATCATGAGAGAAGCTGGCTTATAGGAAGAAGAATGTGGCAACAAGATTAGAGGAAGGCTTATTAACCTGAGAAATGCAGATGGCACAACCTTACTTGCTGAAAGTGAGGGCGAATTTAAGCATTTGCTGAGGACGATGAAGGATTGTAGCCTTCAGTACGGATTGCAACTCAATGTAAAGAAACCAAAATCCTCACAACTGGACCAATAGGTAACATGATAAATGGAGAAAAGACTGAGGTTGTCAAGGATTTTTTTCTTACTTGGATCCACAATGCTCATGGGAAGCAGCAGTCAAGAGATCAAAAGTCAAGTTGTATTAGGTAAATCTTTTGCACAAGCCCTCTTTAGATTATTATAGAGCAAGGATGTTACTTTGAGGACTAAGGTGTGCCAGACCCAAGCCATGATGTTTTCAGTTGCTTCATATGCATGTGAAAGTTGAACATGGAATAAGGAAGACTGAAGGATTGATCCATTTGAATTGTGGTGCTGGAAAAGAACACTGCAAGTACCACAGACTGCTGAAAGGGTCAACTGATCTGCCTTGGGCAATGTACAGCCAGAGTGCTTCTTACAGGCAAGGATGGCAAGGGTTGTCTGACATACTTTGAACTTCTTACCAGGAGAGACTAGTTCCTGGAGAGGCCATCACGGTTGGCAAAGTAGGGGGTTAGCCAAAAAGAGGAAGGCCCTCAAGGAGATGGATTGGCACACGCATAGGAACCATGCTGAGACCTGGGCAGTGCTTCGTTCTGTTGTCGATATTTGTCAGAACTGAGCTGATGGCATCAAGTTTCTTTACTTCTGCTGCCCACCGCCTTCGTTGTATTAAAAACAAAGGGATTGCCAGGGGAGGAGCAGCAAGTACTGGGAGATTCAAAGGTCAAGAGGAGTCAGATTTGGGTGTTTAATAAACATTTGCTCTTGGGACTTTGAGCAAGTTCCTTCAATTCTTGGGGCTTATACTTCCTTTTCAGCCAAAAGGAGCATAAAACAAGGCCATCGCAGGAGCGCAGGAATGAGGCTCCCGGTGTAATTCGCACACAAGCTTTCAAAGAAACAGGTAAAACGGACACGAGAGCAGGAAGCGACTTCGACGCTTCATTTCCTCGAGCGAATTCCCGGGCGCCGAAGTGTCGACACCTGAAGTAGCCCCGAGACGCAAGGTCGGACTTGCTCAAGACCTTTTTACACACAAAGGTCTTGGTCACCTGGGGCGCCGAGGGATCCCCCGCCCGCCGGGGTACGAAGCTCGGGGGCGCACGG